TACCCCAATAACTCAGACATCACACGTAATTTTTGTTTAAGGTTTTTGGCATAATTTTGGCCACAACTTTATTTTCATACAAATTGAGAGTGGTTGCTTAGGCATTGGTTATGACTACCTGTCCCCCCCCCCGCCTTGGGGGACAGCACTGACTCCCTAGTCAGTCCCGGAGGAAGCAAGGCCAGAGTCAGATGGAGCTGCGTCACAGGCCCTCATCTACTCCGCGCTTGTTCCTTGAAGCTTACGCGGCCCGCACCCTGCCGTCAGGGTTTGGACGAAGGGGATGGTAAGCTTCAGAATTCCTTTAACGGAATACCCGTCAGCAGCAGCATTGGAGGGGCAGGCACAGCCAATCCATACCCCTCCACCAACCAATTTTAACCAATGCCTAACCGCCAACCTTACAAGTTGTGACGATTTGCTAAGCAGTAGGCAAAACCCAAAAGGCACGCACTAATCAGCCAATTGGACAAATTCCTACTGGGCCCCCGCACCAATGCGAACGACCCCATGACAGGCAGAGCAAGGTCAAAGCGCAAGCCCAATCAAGGGAGGGCGGGCGGGAGATCCGGTGTCCACAGCGAAAGAGAAAGAGAAAGCTGTGGACCCTGCTTATATATAACCATTAATCCCACCCCTAAATTGGCAACATCAAATTTACCCCAGTAACAGCATCATCCAATCTGCTCCAGCCCATTGCCATCAATGGCCTGGTCACTAACAGGGGTTTTGTTTGGCCCCATCCGCAACACGTGCTCTCTCTTTTATGAGAACACGCTTTGCGTGCTGAGGTCCCCCAAAACCCGTACCCCAATAACTCAGACATCACACGTAATTTTTGTTTAAGGTTTTTGGCATAATTTTGGCCACAACTTTATTTTCATACAAATTGAGAGTGGTTGCTTAGGCATTGGTTATGACTACCTGTCCCCCCCCCCCGCCTTGGGGGACAGCACTGACTCCCTAGTCAGTCCCGGAGGAAGCAAGGCCAGAGTCAGATGGAGCTGCGTCACAGGCCCTCATCTACTCCGCGCTTGTTCCTTGAAGCTTACGCGGCCCGCACCCTGCCGTCAGGGTTTGGACGAAGGGGATGGTAAGCTTCAGAATTCCTTTAACGGAATACCCGTCAGCAGCAGCATTGGAGGGGCAGGCACAGCCAATCCATACCCCTCCACCAACCAATTTTAACCAATGCCTAACCGCCATTCGAGCCCCTACGCTCGCCGCCAACCACTCACAAATTAAGCCATACCCTCAGCTTGGACACCATAGCATCCAACCACACATCATTCCCCACTGGCGAGAGATGAACCCCGTCATCCCTGTAAAATTCCATCGCCTTGAATGAAATAAGAGGGTGAGGGATCACAGACCCACCCAGATTCACCACCAGCTTGCTTGCCGCGGAATTAATCCGCTTCCTCACACGTTCGGTGGCAGCTGGGCAAGGACTACCTCGCCAAATGCGGCGTTGCAGTAGCTGTGACCAGATTAACTTAGTTGCCGGCACCAGTGCCGCCAGCTCTCCAAGGTCCTGTAATATGGCAGCACGCAGCCCGTAGCAGGAAGAAGAAACCATATCGTTCTCCCCGAGCTGCACCACGATCGCTGAAGGAGGGCCACACTGGAGGACACGCCTTCGCATGAGAGGTAAGAATTCCCTCCAAAGCATCCCCCTTCTGGAGATCCAGGACACATGTACATGCTGCGGGAATCCCAGGCCATCACCCAGTCCGGACTGGCGAGCTCTGTCCGCAGCCCAGTGCACAATACTGTGCCCTACTATCCAGATATGGATAGCAGCCCGACCTAGGGTTAAAACACACACAGGTAAATACAGCAACTCATTATTACCGCACGTAGACTTTGAATGCATCCGATCTCCACCGTCCCAGGTCCTTTATCCTCTTTACTGACAAACCCCAATGGGCGGCGGTTGTAGCAGCCCCAATCCTAAATGAGTGAGGGGCAAACTCCGAAGCCGGAAGGCCGCAAGCCGCCACCGCTTTACGCAACACACCAGTAAACTGGTGTCTCACCAGTGGGCGGCCATTTTCGTGAACGAACAGGGGCCCTTCACCGCCAGGACGCAAGGCTAAATACTTCCTAAGGTCTTTCACCGGGCAAGGGCCACTTTTGCCAGTCGCAGGGAGCGTAATAACAGCACCCCTGCCTAGTTGGTCCGTCTTTGAGTTCCTGACATTAACCTGCAGGTCCATTGAAGACACACTAACGTCCTGCATCAGCAGACCCCTTGAACCTCCGTCCCTTTTGGGCTCAAGGACCACCTCTCCGACTCTCAGGGCCCCAAAGAAAGCTAACGAAAAGGCTGCTGAAAATAGCCGAGCCTCAAACTTTGACCAACAGATGCTCCGCAGCTTAGACCGCATCTGCGCCAGCAATTCAAATGTAATGGGGCGTCTGGAAATGGGCCTGAAAGGAGTGAGTCGCCCCCATCCCTCTAGGGCTCTACGCACTACAAACTTCCCACACGGGTCTTTGTTAAAATATGCCTTATTAAAAAAGGAAATTGCTGCCGAGTGCAGACGTAGGGTCCTGGCTGCCCGACGCAACTGGAATAGATGTGCCAGATACCGGAGAACCTGAGAGGTGGAATGGGAGGTGGTAACTTCCCCCGCAGACTGCCCACTAAATAATAAAAAGTCCGCCCAGGCCTTTTTATAGGACCTCAAGGTAGAAGGTGCAACAGATGCAGCTACTCCCTGTAAGACTAAGTTCTGCCAAGGTTCCAGAGATGATCCGGGAAAATTTCCGGACGGTCTCGAGCCACTGGCACCAGGGACCTGAAACGCTCCATCTGAAAACGGGACAGAGCATCAGCAATTTCATTAGAAATTCCCGGGACAAAGCGAGCAGAAAACACAATGTTAAAACGCAAGCAATGCAAAGCGAAGGCCCGAAGAAGGGCAGATACCCTAGGGGACCGTGAAGACTGCTTGGCCAGTACATTCACCACCGCCTGGTTATCAGTCCAGAAACAAACTCGATGATCCCTAAAATGCTCGACCCACAAGTGCACTGCCACTACGATGGGAAAAAACTCAAGAAATGTTAGGTCCCGAGTTATAGCCTGCCCCCGCCAAGCAGGAGGCCAGCGCTCAGCACACCACCTGCCGTCCCAGTACAAGCCAAACCCCAAGGACCCAGCAGCATCAGACTGCACCTGGAAGTCGTTGTGGAGGTTCAAGGTGTCCTGCCACAAGGACACCCCATTGAATTCCTCCAAGAATTCCAACCAAATAGCAAGGTCAGCCCTTACCTGAGCAGGAAGGCGCACCCTGTGATGAGGGGCCTGTAAACCCGAGGTAAGTCTGGCCAAGCGGGAGCAAAACGGTCGCCCTGGGGAAACCACCCTGCAAGCGAAATTCAAATGGCCCAGCAACGACTGGAGCTGCCGCAAGGAAACCTTCTTTAAGGGAATCATATCCTCAATAACCTTTCTCAAATTGATTATTTTCTCGGGCGGCAAGCTGGAGGTTTGAGCCACGGTATCTAGCAAGATACCCAGATAAGTCAGCTGCGTAGAAGGACCCTCGGTCTTCCCAGCCGCTAAAGGGACACCCAGATCTTCCGTTAAGGAAGCGAAGGCCTGCAATAACACTACGCAGTCCCCCGTATTGCCAGCCGAGGCGACCAAAAATCATCGAGATAATGCGTGACACCTCTCAGGCCGGTCTTTTCACGCAAGGCCCACTCCAAAAATGAACTGAAACACTCAAAGGCCGCGCAGGCAACTGGGCAGCCCATGGGCATAGCCTTATCAAAGTAGAATCCGCCTTCGAACTGAAATCCCAGCAACCAAAAATCGTCAGGATGAATTGGGAGCAGCCGAAATGCTGATTCAATGTCGCATTTTGCCAATAAGGCGCCCGGCCCGAATTTCCGAATCATCTTGATCGCGTGATCAAGAGAAGCGTACTTTACCGAACAAAGCTCCGGGGGAATCACATCATTTACTGACGTGCCTCTAGGATGTGAGAGATTATGAATTAGGCGAAATTCCCCCGGAGCTTTTTTGGGAACTATACCCAAAGGTGAAATATGCAAATTGGGAAAAGGGGGGGCAGCAAAAGGACCGGCCATGCGACGTAAAGCTAGTTCTTTACCAATTTTCCTACGCGCCACTTCAGGCATATCCCTAATTGATTTTTGGTTCGCTGGGTTCTTGGCAACCGGGGTAGAGACCACCGGGATTCTAAAACCTAAAGAAAAACCGTCACGCAAGTAGGACGCCGATTTGGCATCAGGGTATAACTCCAACAACGATAGTAGCGGTTGCAGCCTTACCGGGGTATAAGCCAAGGAGGAAAGCATACTACTTCCCTGCTCCCGCGGCAGGGACTTGGGAAGCGGCTTTCGGGGGCTGCTGAGAGCCCCCTCCTTTCCGAAGGGGCGGCGACCTCCCAGACACGCGGACGCGGAGTGGCTCCCTGAGCACTTGTCGCACACATGTGCGTATTTACAGGATTGCCGTGTACAAGCGCCCTTATTGAAATCCCAACAGAACGGCTTACGGCCTAACCTTGTCGAGGCAACCTTGAATTTCTGGGTATCAGGAACCTTCTTGTCAATACGGGGGGCCACATAAGTGGTCCAGACATCCAAGTCCTTCCGATCCCAGCGGGCCGTGGGGATCTTGGCCGCCCTACGCCTAAAATTCTGGTCGTAAGCTAGCGCAGCAGTTTCTCCGGCCATTGTGAAGGCGGAACGGACTATGGATAGATACACCCATAGATGCAAGGATCTCCTAGGATAAGCCGCAGCCACAACTCCAGCAAAAACCTGGAAACTATCTAACCATCGCTCAAAAGTCCTATCAGCCTTTGCTATGACCGTCCGCTTCTTAGTAACAGGCGGGCCCCTATCCAGGGGTCCTGGCCTTCTAACGGAGGGGCTAGGCTGAATATATCAACATAGCGGCCATCCAGTATCCTGGAACGCAATTTAGCTGACAGGTGAGCCCCGGTATAATATCCCTGGCCGAGTTGGTGGAGACCTTTACATCAGGCATCGGGACCCCGTCGAGGCAGTCTTGCACTGCTCCATACCTGGCCCTATGGGAATTCGCCCTCCGCTCCCAAACCCATTTTGGGAGCCCCGAGGCTTCTCCGAAACCCCAGTATAACTTAAGGGCGCTTCCTCGTCACTACTGGAACTCTGGGAAGACGCACCTGATGAAGAGGACGAGGTGTCTCTACGTCTCCTCTTGGCACGCCTCCTAGAGCTTTTCTTGCGGCGGCGATGACCGCCCGAAGAGGTCTTCGGAGGAAGAGGGAGGCTGTCCTCGACCGACGACTCTGATGCATCGCCCTGATGCGGAATGGCTGGAAGTGACTGGAAAGACACAACTTGTGAATGACCAGGGATCGAACTCCCCCCAACTGTGGGCCGCGCAGGTGAACCCCGCACAACATGACCCCGGGCAGGTGCCCTCTTTCTGGCCCCAACCCTGGAAGGAGCCCGACCCGTGGCACGGCAACCTGCGACGCAGGCAGAACCTGGGACCGAGCCTGTCGCGTGTCAGGTAAGTATCCACTGGCCGGCAATGGCTCCCCTTCTTCTTCACTGGATGATGACGGTGGAAATGAAGCGACCGCAGGGGGAGCCAGCGTCGCAGAAGAAGTCGACGGGGTTGAGCGGCGGTGCATCAAACCCTCGAGCTCCGCCTCCATCCTTGCCAGAGCCACCGGGTCACCAGCCAAACTAGAGACCATGGATTGAAGGCGTTCCACCGACTGGCCAGGATCAGGAGAACGTAAGGCCTGCGACGGGCCTCTTATAGGCCGCTTTGCAGAGCAGGCCGGACCAGACTTCCTTGTTGCCTTCCTTGGGGCCATCCCTACTACTGGTGTAAAAGAAAATAAATTTAAATTAAAATAAAATAAAATGAAAATCACCAAATTAGGGGGAAAGTAATAAGATTATTAAAGAATTAAATGAGAAAGCAGCACCAAGTAGCAGGAAGTAGTTCAAAAGCCTGCAATACCACAGTGGCCACTAGGGGCCTCCACCAGATCTAGGCCCTCAGTGTCTGAAAAATCCTGCACTTACCAGGTCCGGCCACTAGAGGCCTCCACTATTGCTAGGCCCTCGGATTCTGAAAAGCCTGTAATTATAAGTCTGGCCACAAGAGGCCGCCAGTCGACAGAAACAAAGGCAAAATGGCGCTCCCGCCTATCTTGCCCTAAAATGGGTGAAGGGATGCCTCCGCAACTGCGAAGGGGCAATAGGGGCTCAAATGCCAGCTAGAGCCGACCCCAGCACCCTGCAAGAGGCCCACCAGGGCAAAGCACAGGGGTTCCGAGGCCCGAACGGCCCCTCACCCCCAGAAAGGAACAGGAGGGGCTGCCGCCCACGGAAGCCCTCCTCCCCAGCTCAGCCCAGCAGGCCGCAGCGGCGCCGGCACCCCAAGGCCCCAGGAGGTAAGGCCGCCGCGGCCACGCAGGCACCCGGCTGGGCCGCCCCAGCCAGAGGACGGTCCCGGCGCTGCCGGGCCGGAGCCTCGGCCGCCCGCGGGGGGTCGGCCTCAGCGGTCGGCCACGCCGCCGCGCCGCGTTCCAGGGCGGACCCCCAGCCGGGGAAAGTAATCAAAGGCGGGAAAGCCCCCGCCGAGCCGAGCGGGCCGCGAGGCCCCGAGCGCCCGCCGGATCAAGCCGGCAGAGCGGCCGAGGCCGCGGAGGCCCCCAGTCGGGCCTAGCAGGCCGCAAGACGATCCCCGTGGAGCAGGGGATCGTAGACGCGGCGGGGCCGGCCGGCCCGGGCCCGCCGCGCGCGACCGCGGCGCCCGCCGCAGAAGCGCGGTGAACGGGGAGGGGGGCAAGGAATCAGGGACCGGGGAGCTCACGGGGGCTAGGAGGGGCCTGGCGAAGAGGCCCAAAGCCGGCTAGCCCCAGGACCCAGTAGGGTCCCCGCAGTTGCGGCCTAGGCCGCGACGAAGCTGGAGGGGGGGGGTATTAACAAAAGACCACAGTCAGGCCCTAGACAGGCCGCCCGACGGCGGGCGCCCCCCTATTGGCGGCCTAAGGCTGCCGCCAGAAAGGGAAGAAAGCAAGCCACAAAGAAATCAAATTAAATTAGCAGGGATATATCAATTAAAATAATGAGGAGAAAATTAAAAGAAAAAGAGGAGAATCAGAGGATTTATACAACCAAGATCTCTCGCTGATTCACCCCGGTACTGAAGATCCGGTGTCCACAGCGAAAGAGAAAGAGAAAGCTGTGGACCCTGCTTATATATAACCATTAATCCCACCCCTAAATTGGCAACATCAAATTTACCCCAGTAACAGCATCATCCAATCTGCTCCAGCCCATTGCCATCAATGGCCTGGTCACTAACAGGGGGTTTTGTTTGGCCCCATCCGCAACACGTGCTCTCCCTTTTATGAGAACACGCTTTATCAGTGCTTTTTACAGATTGGAATCTAAAACTGGGAGCATAGCATGTTTCTTACCCAGTGAACTACCAACAAACATGCAGGATTCAGAAAGGAAACTTAATCATTTATCAATTAGTACAAAGGGATGCAGTGATCCAATATGCAAATACCCATATGTTAAAAAAATAAAATACCCCAGTACTGCTTTTATAAATCTAAGTTGAACCAGCCTTTACCAGTGAGTAGTTCTGGGCAGGCAACAAAATCCCGGAACAGAGATTACTGCTGGCTGAAATTTTAGAATTATCCATTGCCTACTCTATAATTATGTTTGCTTTACTTTGGTGTTACTTTGCATATACACTGAGAGCACTCACATCTCTAAATGGCATTTATTATTTCACACACACACACACACACACAAAAGCATTTTTTTCTGTTAAAGTTTCTATTGTTCTTAACAATGTGTTCCAAATGCTAGAAACATTTTCCAAAGTGTTTGCTGTGCAAAACTCTGCATGTGTTCTCTGAACGCTCCCAACTGGCTATGAATTTCCACGGTGTGACTGAACATGTCAAGGTCAGTGTCTGTCAAGTATAATTTGTTTCTTTATTGGAAACTTGAATGTGAACTTCACTTTAATTGAGGATGTGCATTTCATGCAGCCTCCCCATCCAACAGGATGTAAAGCCGCTGTCACTTTGAGCCAAAGCAAGGAAGGTCTTCACAATAACATAAAACGGCCAACACTCAACCGACTTCGACATAGCATTCACCATCACATCAGCAGCCATAATAATACACTAAATCTCTTGAAAAAGCCTGTGTTGGCAATTACAACCATGTATACCACAGTTCTATTGGTACTGTAAGAAGGCAGGAGGTCAGAAAACTTTAATATCATATATAGTGTGTGGTACGTGTGTGATTTTATGTCTGTATACACACACACACACACACACACACACACACACACACACACACACACACACACACACACACACACACACACAGCAAAAGAATATAAATCAGACATCAGACCTACACTTCTATACTTGTTGGTTAATTTATTTTGTATTGTATTAGTGCTTTCAGTATTAACCCTACTTCAAGAGCTGGTCTAGACACATTTAAATCCCATTGAACTCACTGTTTGGAATGGAGTGGCCATGGACACATTCCAGAGAGCAGTACAGCCACATCACTCCACATGTGCAGTCTATCTGAGCTTCCTGGACCTACACAGGAACACAGGAAGTTGCCTTATATTGAGTGAGAATATTGGTCCATCTAGCTTTAGTATTGGCTATGCTGATTGGCGGTGATTCTACATGGTTTCAGATTTTGGGGACATTCCCAGTCCTACCTGGAGATGCCAGGGATCAAACCTAAGACCTTCTACATGAGAGTGATGTGCTCTTCACAACTCTGCTGTAGCCTTTCCCAGGCTTGGCATGATCTCTCCCCCCTCCCCAGTCAGTTCCAACTCCTACAGTTTCCTTTCCACACTGCTTAAGAAGATGCCTTTGGGGTGTTTCCAATTCTCATGTGAACAAACTGTTCACATTTGGGTACCTGGCACAATGGAAAGAACTGAAAGGGGTTCAGAAGAGGCCAGCAAAGATGGCTGGGGAGGGGGAAGAAGTCTTATGAGGAAAGGCAGGAGGAACTCAATATGTTTATCGTGAAGAGGACGAGGTAGGGCATGGCAGCACTCTTCAAATACAGTGGTACCTCGGGTTAAGTACTTAATTCGTTCTGGAGGTCCGTTCTTAACCTGAAACTGTTCTTAACCTGAAGCACCACTTTAGCTAATGGGGCCTCCTGCTGCTGCCGTGCCACCGGAGCACGATTTCTGTTCTCATCCTGAAGCAAAGTTCTTAACCTGAGGAACTATTTCTGGGTTAGCGGAGTCTGTAACCTGAAACGTATGTAACCTGAAGCGTATGTAACCCGAGGTACCACTGTACCTGAAGGACCTCTCACATACAAAAGGACAAAGACTTGTATTCTCTGCTGCCATGGACTGGATCTGATAGCCTTAAATTTTGTTGAACTTTAGGAGAAACTTCTTAATGATAAGAGCTGTTTGACAATAGAACCAATTGCCTAAGAAGATGGGCTTTCCCTCACAGGAAGTCTTTGAGAATGTACTAGTTCTAGATTGCCTGCATAAAACACAGGGTGCTCTGCATTTCCAATTATGATGTCAGGTGACAGGTGGCCCATAGAAGGGGGAAAGATAAGGATCTGGTGGCCCACCACCCAGATCCAGTTCTCCACCTATGGCCTACAATGACTTCTCTTACCCTGTG